GAGAATCAGCAAACAGTAAGGGAAATGAAACGATAGGAAATAGAAACGGTAAGCATAATACTAATACTAATGATAATGACAATGATAATACTGAATTATGATAATGCGATGATACGATAATATTACGAAGCGATGAATGCCTATTGAACAGCTGTTTGATTTGATTTCAAATTGGAAAACAGAGACGGAGACGGAGACAGCAGATGCATTTAAGTCAAGTCTCCAAACGATTTTTAGTTAAATTCTCAAATATCAAAAAGATGGAGTTATAGAACGAAAATAAAACCAAAATGTGGTAATAAAATATTTGAATGGAATATTTGAAATCGCTCCAAATACACTCTAAATAAAGCAAAAGCAAAAACCTAAACCCAAATGTAAACCCAAAAAGCAAAGCAAACAAATATAGCATATAGTGCGTATGGAAAACCCTAATCTCTTATATTATATGTATGGTGTATTATATTTTTTAACGTATTTAATGCATACTCTCTATATATACGATATATCTACTTATATTTGAAGTAACCTTAAACAGTTTGTGAGAGCAGCCAGCCGAGGGAATAGGAAGAATTACACAGACCCGCAGACTATCCATATTACTGAATATCAGTTGTAAAATAGCCCGAAGATAGTAAAATAATCTGTTCCCATTCGAAAGATGGAAAGAATCCGAAACAACAATAGCCTCGTTAGTTTATAATCAGATGATCAAGTTGATGAAATATCAGTGAAATATCTCTATACAAAATATTGCAAAAAACGTCGAATATCTTGGCCCAACCAGCGTCCAGGGTTGCCATCAGTTTATTTTAATAACAGCCACAAATTCATTGGGTTTCTCTCCATTAATATCTAAAAAGAAATATACCTGTACAGATTAAAATAGCACATAAAGTCTTTAATGTCAGTCGCTTTTCTACAATTCACTTCAATCGAACCCCTCTGAGTTTCACGAAAATCTGCCAAATACTTTAATGATTTATCGTTGCTAGACAAGGCCAGGACCCCAGACAATGGCTGTGCCAAGGGAATAGACTTTTTTGCAGTACACACAATGTGCCCATAGAACAAGTAATTTATGACAGACAGAAAATCAAACGATTTATTTATATTATTATATACGAAACTGTTGTTATTGCAACAGGAACAAGCCACAAACCACATGAAATAGTACCGAAAATATTTTACAGAATTTTTACAATCAACAATACGATACATACAATAGTTACAGTACTTGAAAGAATCCAGTGAGCGGTTCGCAAATGAATGGAAACAGCAAAACTAAACAGCAAAAAAAAAAATAGTAAAAGTCGAGAAGAATCGACGCAAAAGCCGAAAAAAATAAACCAAAACTGAGAGAATATAGTAACATTTTCTCAACAGACATAAAGAAGATACGAGTATGAGTACGAGTATGTTCGACTAAGTGTAAAGTGAAGTATGGAAATTGCAAACAAATATTTTTAAAACTTGCGCTCGCCTAAGTGTAAAGCAGAGAGTAACCGAAGAAATCGTCAGATACAGATACGATAAATTACGAATAAGTTCTGATTAGATCAGATCAGATCAGATCCGATGAGACCGACACACAATTTGTTATGTTGACATTTATTTGATGGGAATATGTATACGTTTGTAATTATTATGAACAATTGACAGGGACTACCATATAATAACTACCATAGAAATAATACTGAGCAGAGGCAATAGAAACAAATTTTATTTATGCAACAATCAGCGTCGCCGCCCGACCCTGACCCTGATATGCACTTATTATTAATTATATACTCAACTGAAACTGAAACTGTACATAAACCAAAACCAAAACAGAAACCAAAACCACAAAACTGCAACTGCAATAGTACCGACATAAGTAAATCAATTATTTCCCTAATTTTGCTAATGAATGCAACGGGAGGTACTTAAGAACGAAAAGAATCAGAGGGAATCGGAGGAGCAATCAAAGCAGTGTTCAAGTGCCATTAGAGCGAGTCCCCCCCAGGAGTTCTTACTTTCAGTTGAACGCGACATATCCACAAACGAGTGAGAATATGATCCATATTCCAGCCCCACCATCCAACACAACAACACACACACACACACAAACATACACAAACTTAAATTTGTTTTTATCAGAAAGTGAGAATGAGAATCGAATCGAAGACTTACAGATATTTGTTTGTTGAGCAGAAAGTTAATCAAAAACCAAATCAAACCAAACCACAAATCAAATCAAAGCAAACCAAACCAAAACAAAATCAAATAGAATCAAACAAGACAAAGCAATAGTGATACTAAACTGCCAGGATCAGGACACGGAACACGTACCTGCCCTGCCCTGGGTCAGCCATAAGCCATTAATTAACCAATAGCCTGATGCAAGTGAGCAACAATAAACCAAACGAATCTCTTCATTTACAACAGATACTTACAACAAAATGCCACGGATACCGCGAGCAGCAACCATAGTACAATAACAATACATTTTTCTTATTGAGCGACTTTTATACAGCAAAAGCCAACAGAAACAGAAACAGAAAACAGCTAAACCAAAACCAAAACCAATTGATCAAGCAATAGAAGAGAAGGCGATGAGGGTAAGGGGATCGATCCTGCAGGATGGATGCAGTGCAGGTTGAATGCGAATCAAAACGGGGAATACCATGCCCGATTAATACAAAGGCAATTTTAAGTATACAACAAACAGAGAGCAGAGCAGGAGGGAGCAGCAACTATATACATATATTTTTTAAAGATGCAGAACTAACAATAGCTAAAAGATTGTTAAACATTTTTATATTTCAATTGTATGATTTCCAATTATGTAATTGAGTGTAAAAAGAGAATTATACATACTATATAGATGAAGAAATAACAAAAACAAAACCAAAACAGAATCAGTGAAAAAACCAAACCAAAAAAGAAAGAAAAAAAAATATATAGAAAACCTTTTTTTATATTACAAGAGACAAAAAACAGAGCAGAGGATCAACCGACAAACAGAACAAAATCTCACTTTCTTGGTAAAAAAAAAAAACATCAAATCAATTGGTACAACAATTACAATTACAACAACAGCAGATTGCACGTGAATTAAACAATAAAACTGGCTACACAACAACAACAGCATACGATGTTTATTCGACTTTTTGTTCGCATTTCCGTTCGAATTTCTCCAATCGTTTCACAATCTAAACCAATCTTTAGTTAATTGTCAAGTTTTCAAATCGTTTTTTGTTTTGCACACATCAACAAGAACAACAACCACAACAACAACAACCAGAAAAGGCAACAACAATTTAAAAAAAATATATAATATAAAGAAATATATCAAACATCAGGAATACACTGGCATGCAAGTTTCGGGACTCAAGTTTAAAAAATATTTGTGGCTAATCAAACAAAACAAAAAATTAAAAACATATTTATTGAAACCATCTTAGTTTTGGCTGAATCGAATATGAGGTTCATAATAAAATAAAGTATTTGGATATAACAAGCGAAATAAATGAAAGACACTTATTCGGAAATGGAAATGGTATTTCCAATCAAAACTAGAGGGAAAAACGTTTAAGGAAACATTATATGTTGGAATCCTTGCACGGGATCGTCAAGTCAAGGAACCTTTGGCATCTAAAAGAGAAAACACTTTAGAGATCAAAATCTAAAATAAAAAATGATGACTTGTCCAGAGGCAATGAATGAAATGAAAGCATAAAACAAAAGAATACAAAAGTAATAAGTGGCAAACAAAATATCTTGAGTAAAGAGTTACAAAAACACTTCTCGGCCCATTCCAAAGTATATATTCTCGGCAATACAATGAAACGACTCTCGGCCTTTCAAAAAAAAAATCGATTGCACAGACCACAGTGGACACTCGAGGCAACTACTTAAAGGCAGTTCAAATTCACATTAAATTACATTTTTCGGAGCAACAAAAACAGAATGAAAATTTGAATTTAAATTTAAGCCAAATGTATAAGCATCATTTTTTACATACAAATTAAGTAATACCCTAAACTAAATACTTTAGGTAATAAATGTAAGAGAAAGCGAATTGGGAAATCGAAAACCAAACACCAAAAAAAAACATTGAACATTGAAGAAAAGTAATGAAAAATCGAAAGCTCAAGTGGAGCGAAACTAAAATACGATACACAACAAAATTGAAATATCAAGAGAATACAAATTACTAAAAATTCAAAATTTTAATTGTTGTAAGCAAACTAAAGAAAACTATATATACGAGCATATAACCAGAACCTTTCTTATACTACCCCCAACCACAGAACTCACACACAAGCTACCCAGCACCCACCACTACCACCACCCACACGATCCCGGTAAATCTCGGACCCCACCCACAAAAGTACACACCCACCCACCCAACACACTCCGCCCCACACACACACACACACAAATACAAACACAAACACTCTTCTAACCCACACACCACCAACACCTTCCATTGGTTTAGATTTTAAGCATCATTTTTAACGTAATCGTCAGCCAAAAAACAAAACAAAAAAGAAAAACGAAAAAAATAAAACCTATTGAGGCAGTCCAAAATTAATCGAAAACGAAAATACGATTTTAAGGCAAGCAAATCTTAATGCATCAAAAGCAAAATATTTAAGCGAAAGTCGTCGTCTAGTTTAATGTCGTCAAATTTTACTTTTTGTAATAATTAACATTAAATTAAAATATATATTGTATAACACAAGGAAAAAGCAAAAGTACGAGTATTGTAAACGTCTATCGACCTACTAATTTCAAAAAAAAAAAACCAAAAACAAACAAAAAAAAACACAAGAATTCCAGCAAAATAACTCTGCAAAAGCAAACAAAAAACGAAAGCAAAAAGCATCCAATGCCACGGCATGTGCAACCAAAAAAATTAAAACCACAATGAATTTCCGGCATCAAAAATATAGAAACTACTTAAAATACGAACCTATATTATTATACAAGAAAATGATTTGAAATAAATTGAATCTTGTAATATAGGCATACGAGTTTTAATGGAACAAATCACATCTATAATTTTTTAGCAGGTCAAATCGAACTTCACAACACCGTCGTAGTCCGGGCCATACTCCATGATGGCCTTGCTCTTCCGAGATTGGTTGTAGGAGGCGCCGTATGTGGTCTGTGCCTTGCTGCTGAGATGGGACAGTAGCTTCTCGCACCTGATGAGCTTGGGATAGTTATAGGTCGTGGTCAGATTGCCGAAGGATTGCAGCATGTCAATCTCGGGCTGGCGCTGAGGCGGTCCGCAGTATCCGCTCTCCAACTCCTTTTGCTTGAGGAAACGCTGGGGCAACACATCGAAGGCCAGTGTGGTGGTGGTGGTGAAGTTGCGGTTCAGAGAGCTGTGGTCCACCAAGCTCATGTTTGATGTCGCGTTCTTCCTAAAGTTCTGAAAGGCCTGCTGGCGCTGATCCGAGAAATCCAAGACTGTCCCCATGGCATTGAAGGGCGCCTTCGTGTAGGTGCTTCGGGAGACGGACTGGTGCTTCTCGCAGCCCTCTAGTGCTCTCAGAGCAGGCACGACGGCGTTGCTCTTCTCCTCAACCTCATAGCGGCGCTCGGACCAGTTTCCAATGAGCACCTCCTTGCCAAATGATTTCAGGCTTGTGCTATGCATTGTACCGAAAATTAATTTATCTGCAAATCCAACTGGATGAAAACTAACAAGTAACAAAAAAATACAGAGCTATCACAAAAACAGACTATGTATTGTATGTATGAGTACAAAAAGACGAATGATAAACAATTAAACCCCGACCTACTCTGCACCCCACACACACATGAAAAACTAAACAGGCTGAATTATGTTGGCCAAGGATTTGGATACTCGTCTATCATATGTATTAGGAGTAGTTTGAGACTGTGGTCTCAATTTTGAGGTTCTTCAAGTCGTCGTGCATGTTACAATTCATAAAGATAAACTTGCCGCGATCCCTCTTCCTGGTGGCCTCATCAGCGGTCGTCCACTCTCCCAGCCCCTGCTCCTCGGGCTTTATTCTGATTTTAAAGTCCGCCAAGTAGCTGGTAGTTTCACGATGCGGGCGCTCGCTGAGCAGTTTGCATCGCATTCTATTGTTAAATCCACTCCTGTTGCCATAGCATTTTGTGCCATCGAGCTCGGTGGGCTTGTACCTTAAACCTGCCTGCTCCATCTGTTGGCACTCCTCCTGTCGCATCTTGGGTAACATATCGAACATCAGCGTGTTCATGGAGGTGTAGTTATTGAGATATCGATCGGCGTGGTGCAGTTTCAGACCTGCAATCTGCGATTCCCTGATACCCTCCATGAGGTGCCTGCACTCAATGTGCTCGTATAGAGTTTGGTCTCTGGTGAAGGGCTTATACGTTTCCTGGCTGCATGACTTGTGCCGCTCGCAAGCTTCCTCCGCTGTCAGACCGGGGAGTATGGTGTTCCCGTATCGTATGTCCTTCAGATAGCGCTGATTGAACCAATTTCCTATCAACACATTGCTATTGTAGGTCAGAGGCTTCTCCTTAGTGTACGAGTGACGTTCGTCCTTCTCCTTATCCTGCGGCGAATAGACCTCAAGCTCCGGTAACATTGTAAAATTGTGTTTAAGTGACGTGTAAACTGAACGAGCAATTAAATGAAAGGAAATGCTATGACATGTTCCAACATCAGAACAACGGAAAACTAAACTAATGATATAACTTAACTTCTAGGATGTAAAGTGAGTGATAGACAAAGTGGCTGGCGAAATTCAAATCGACTGCCAAACGAATTGTTCACCAGTCAAAAGATGCCAGACTACTCAAAAAGGTTGATCGCTTGAATGCATCCCTGTTAACGGTAGACAACCGTTGATGGTGTATATATGTATACTTCTCGGGAAATTTCGACGTCGATGTTCTTGCAGCGCAAATATAAGTCCGGGAGAGCGTTTTGAGTGTTCTCTTTCGACAGGGTCATGGCCAAGCTTTTTTTTAAGGGCCTCGTAGATTGCTGACCCTGGCCACTAACCATGCAGTATATAGATGTGCCAGTTCATACAACGAAATTGGCGCAGCTGAGTTTTCAGGACTTCGGCTCTGGGGCCGATCGCGCTTAATTATAATCATTTTTCGTTTCATATCAGTCAGCAATTCGAATTTTTCGTTTCATATCATTCAGCTTTTGTCAGCGAGCAGTTAGAATTTTCGTTTCATATCAGTCAGCGGCTTCGGTCTCGTCGGCGGCTTATCGTCAATCAGTCTGCTTTTGTCAGCGAGCAATTTGAATTTTTCGTTTCATATCAGTCAGCTTTTGTCAGCGAGCAGTTATAATTTTTCGTTTCATATCAGTCAGCTTTTGTCAGCGAGCAATTAAAATTTTTCTGGTCATATCAGTCAGCTTTTGTCAGCGAGCAATTATAGTTTTTTCGATTCATATCAGTCTGCTTTTGTCAGCGAGCAATTTGAATTTTTCGTTTCATATCAGTCAGCTTTTGTCAGCGAGCAGTTATAATTTTTCGTTTCAAATCAGTCAGCTTTTGTCAGCAAGCAATTACAATTTATTCGATTCATATCATTCAGCTTTTGTCAGCGAGCAATTCGAGTTTTTCGTTTCATATCAGTCAGCTTTTGTCAGCGAGCAATTAAAATTTTTCTGGTCATATCAGTCAGCTTTTGTCAGCGAGCATTATAGCCCCGCGTCGCGCTTTGAATTTTTCGTTTCATATCAGTCAGCTTTTGTCAGCGAGCAGTTATAATTTTTCGTTTCATATCAGTCAGCTTTTGTCAGCGAGCAATTAAAATTTTCGGTCATCGTCCTGTCAGCGGCATATAGCAAACATCAGTCAGCTTGTCAGCAAGCAATTACAATTTATTCGATTCATATCATTCAGCTTTTGTCAGCGAGCAATTCGAGTTTTTCGTTTCATATCAGTCAGCTTTGTCAGCGGCAATTAGTCGTCATATCAGTCACTTTGTCAGCGGCAATTTGAATTTTTCGTTTCATATCAGTCAGCTTTTGTCAGCGAGCAGTTATAATTTTTCGTTTCATATCAGTCAGCTTTTGTCAGCGAGCAATTAAAATTTTTCTGGTCATATCAGTCAGCTTTTGTCAGCGAGCAATTATAGTTTTTTCGATTCATATCAGTCTGCTTTTGTTAGCGAGCAATTTGATTTTTCGTTTCATTCAGTCAGCTTTTGTCGGCGAGCAGTTATAATTTTTCGTTTCATATCAGTCAGCTTTTGTCAGCGAGCAATTAAAATTTTTCTGGTCATATCAGCGCTTTGTCAGCGGCATTATAGTTTTTCGATTCATATCAGTCGCTTTGTCAGCGAGCAATTTGAATTTTTCGTTTCATATCAGTCAGCTTTTGTCAGCGAGCAGTTATAATTTTTCGTTTCAAATCAGTCAGCTTTTGTCAGCGAGCATTTACAATTTTTCGTTTCATATCATTCAGCTTTTGTCAGCGAGCAATTCGAATTTTTCGTATCATATCAGTCAGCTTTTGTCAGCGAGCAGTTAGAATTTTTCGTTTCATATCAGTCAGCTTTTGTCAGCGAGCAATTAGAATTTTTCGTTTCATATCAGTCAGCTTTTGTCAGCGAGTATTTATAATTTTTCTTTTCATATCAGTCAGCTTTTGTCAGCGAGTATTTATAATTTTTTCGTTTCATATCAGTCAGCTTTTGTCAATGAGCAATAAATACATTTTTTTGTTTTGTTTTAATTTTTATTACATTTATTTATTTATTTTTCTTCATGCTTACATTTTTCTTAAATATTTACAATTTTTTTAATTTTTACATTATTCCTAAATTCTAAATTTTTTGTTAACCCCCCTAAAGTATCAAGACTAACCATACAGCATATAAATATGTTGACAGAGTTGAAAAGTCGAAAGCCGAAGGCATAATATGTAATTAAAGAAAAATCTGTCTAAACTATGCATACATAAATGTGCAATTTCAAATAATTCAAACAATTAATATTAATAATTTAAAAATAAGTCGTTGATATGTAGCAAATTTGTAGTTACCGTGTAGTTACCATGTAAGAAAGTGAATTTTGAGTAAAATTAATGAGTATGATTTTCCTCGGTATATTTACGGTATATTATTTAAAAGATAAGGTATATTTAGGTATATTTTTGGAGGTCAGATGGTATATTTTGTCGATAAATCCGCGCTCACACTGTCGCTTTAAGGCACCGTATGATTGTTTTGAAAAAAACAAACGATTACTAAAAAACAATTGAAACCTTTTAAGAACTTGTCCATTGTAAAAATTAGATGCCACCTGTCGATTTGTCTACAAATGTCTCTTCGTATTTTATAGCAGCCAATCCAAACATATCAAAAGCGCAACGACTGTAGCTCGATACTATCATGATAGTCGGAAAACCGTCGATAGTAGAGGCTAGCAGTAAAATATCGATACTATCGATAGTGCCCTCGATGGTTTGACACCTCTAAGGCACCGCGGTTTGCAAAAAAAAAAACAAAACAAAAACAATGGTGAGAATTCTGAATAAAACATGATAAATGCTAAGTGAACGCAATATTGTCGCCCCCCAGCTCTTCTACTCGTTCTTCAAATCCCTGGTTGGCAAGGAAGTCGTTGTCGAACTGAAAAATGACCTCAGGTGAGTGTGTGGCGTCTGTGCATTTGGCGAGGCGCGTGTAGCCGGAGCCGGCGAACTCATGCATCTTCTTCTCTTCTCCCTTAACGCAATCCACAGCATATGCGGGACACTGCACTCGGTGGACCAATATCTGAACATAAAGCTGACGGACATCAGTGTGACGGATCCTGACAAATACCCGCACATGCTCAGCGTGAAGAACTGCTTCATCCGCGGGTCTGTCGTTCGCTACGTCCAGCTGCCCGGCGAAGAGGTGGACACCCAGCTGTTGCAAGACGCCGCCCGCAAAGAGGCCGTGGTGAGCACGCGGTAGAGAGTGGGCATTCCCCACCCCCTTTTTTATGTGTACTTCGAGGCGTATATTAAGTAAACTCTTGTGCTCCCCGCCCTACACCTAAGTGAAAGAAACATTTGTTATAGCAAAACGAAGAGAAATTGAATCCAAAATAAAAGGAACACTCAACGCGAAGGCACTGAATTCTGATACTTTCCCAAGTAATTTACAGAGAAATTGTATCCAAAACCATAGAAACTCTCAACGACTCGTATTGGCCAATCGATTTAGTTGGACTTTTGTTGGACAGATATTTCGGTGATTGTGAATAAGGAAGCTTGAAGTACCACTATATGTATGCACGTACATACATATATACGTATCTCTATGTAAACGTTTGTGCTCCCCATTTATGTGAGTTATTTACGGCTCATCAATTTCTGATGAGTCAAGCCTGAGGTTTCCGGGCAGACCACGGAAGTCTTTCGATTTTATGTGGGTATGCCACCACAAAGCCAATGCCGTTCCATGCCCGAATGGCGAACGTGGGTCGCAGCCAGCTCCTCCGCTTAGCTTGCGTCATGTTGATAATGTCCCAAGGAATGGCTCCATAAAATTGTATAATTGTTGTGACGATGTCTTGTATACCGCCCCGCCCCCGCCCTTCACGTAGGTCATGTATGAGCATAGCAGTAGAATGGTATCTACCAAATGTCTCGATTAATGTATGTTCATACATATATTTCGCATTTTACGATTGTTCCTTTTGTGTTGCCTCTCCAACTGCTGCTGAATGGCGGCTGTCACTGTCCACCCACGGCAGGGTTTGAGGTCCTCGGGCACTGCCATTCCGATGCTCAGTCGAAGCCCAGTGGGACAGCACAACAACAGCAGTTTTTTTGGCTATGCCAATAAAACGAAGAGCGCCAAGCGGAATGTGTTTAATTCCTGAACGGACCCCCCGCTCCACTCCACACGCATACTCGAACCTAACATGGAGCCGTTAAGAGCGGCCCCCTCTCCCTTTGCCGTCCACAGAATTGCTTTGTTTGAAAGAATGCGTACTAAAAATGAAATACTCGTTCGTAAAAAATTTCTGTGCACTCGATGCTTACGGCATTTACATTTAAAACTGCTGCTCGACCCCCGACCCATAGGCCAGTGTACTACGTACTGGGTGAAAAATCGTGCAATCAAAAGTTGTACGTGGCAGTGGCAGCGGCAGAGAAGTCGCCGTCTGACTGCGCATAATTGACTTGGGAATGGGGCACTCGGCCAGCACGAGAAAAACATTTTCGGCCATCGCCCCGCACTGAATTCCGGACGCAGGACTTTCATTATTTGTGGTAATTCGGTTCCGGTTTCCGCCATAGCGCAGCGTCAGAGCCAAAACTTCGTGCCGCATTGTTCTGCATTGGCGGGATACAGCATCGGAGAAGCAGTGGATTCCAGTATTTTTAAAGTTTCCTCGCCCGTCCTCCTGTTGCCTATCATGATGAGCGTCTCTGCGTCCGTGGCCGCGTCCGCCTGTGTAGCACATAAAATTTTGTAATATACTAGGCGTGGAGGGGTGCTGCAGAACCAACAAACGTGGGGATACGAACGTGAGCCTGGCGGATTTATGGGCACCCCCGCCAGCCAGCCATCGCTAGTTCATCAACGTGTTGAGCTCTGCTTCTGCTTCTGGTTGTGCCTCTGCGTGAGCGTAAAAAGTTGGCTCGTAAATTCTCGGAAGGATCATTCGGTTTTTATTAAAAATAAACTATACAAATTTGACACAGATTATTTATACATAAGTACACACCACACAATATGCGAACAGGATGCTGAATAGATGGGATCCTATGGGATGGGATGGGCATACCACGTAATCCCACAGAGTTGTCGTTGTCCCGGATCCGTGTAAATTGTTGGGCGAACCAGTCTAAAATGGGTACACACACATGTATTTGTCTGATCCAACTTACATAAGAGCATGCAATCCCTTTGCGAACTGTTTTCGGCCAAATTGAATATACTCGTAGTAAATCTACGCTTTCGTTTGGAATTTCACAGAGGCAGATCCAAAAGTTATTGTCTTCAACTAAATAGATTTTACAGCAAAGCCAAAGGGAAAACAGTAAAAGGTGAGTAAACGATGAGATGAGGCTCGGTAAGTACTTTTTGTTTTGTTTAGTTATGCACTTTTTATGAATGATTCCGTTTGGCATTCGCATCTATTGCTATTGGGTGGAACTAGTCGGGAGAGCGAAAAATGTGTGGCAAAAAATGCACATTGATATATTTATAGTTAATTGTATTAAGTAATTATTACCCTGTTTGGTTTTTGGCTGCGTTAGACAATTGATTTTGTAGAAAAAACGAACTAACGTGAACTAGCAACGAGCAATGAGGGACGAAGCGGACATGAGATTCAATCCGCTTAACAAACTTGCAAACGATGCAAGGGACATTGAAGCAAAAAAAACTGATGGGTTCCAGGAAGCTTCATTAAAAGGACTAATTGCTAATTAAAATACTTGTCGTTTGAGCTGCACTTGCCACTGCTTAGCGATGAGTAGTAGCTCAACCCCACACTGGGATGGCCCCCAGTGGGGGTGAGAAGACCGTAAAAACTAGGAATAAACACTCTACGCTACTCTACTCTACTCTCTCTCTAAGCACACCCATTGTGTTTGAAGACTTAACTCTCAATTCGTATTAACTACCCAGACGCTCCTCGGCTCGGTGATCTGATCATCGACGCCTCAGCGCACACGGTTCGTTCACACACACGGCTCATCCTGTTCCAGGTGCACCTCTCTCTCACTCTTACTCTATGCGATCCTTTGATCCTCTGGCAGAGTCACTGCACTGGAATCCCTTGCAGCTCTTGCTGCCGCCGCACCAGCTCCCTGCTCAGGCAATGGCAGCAGGAGCACGCGTCCTCCGCCGACCCATCTGTCGAAACATTTTCCACCGCCGCCATCGCCAGCTCCACTCACACGCTCGACACCCGCTCGTTGTTGTCCAGCAGCGCGGTCAGGTGCGCTCCACTGGCCACGCCCACGCCTACGCCCCCTCGCTGGGCGTCATAGTTGAGCACGACGGCGGAGGAGGCTGTTGTCGTCTGCAGCAGTAGGCGCTGCTGTTCCTGTTCGCGCAGGCAACTGGGGTGCCGGACCAGGATCGCCAGATGCGGATGTGGACTGCGCACCGACGAGCCCTTCCGCATCAGCTGCGGCGTTGCACTGTTGCTGCCGGACACAGAGCCGGGGCCAGCACTGGAGGCGCCCGTACCCACTTGCAGCAGACCCACCTGCTCCTTGAAGGGTGGCCCGGCACAGCCGTTGCTCGTGCTGCGGTAGTAGCTCTGCTGCCGGAAGGCGCGCATCTGTCGGGAGCTGCTACCGGTGCCGTCTACCTGCGTCACGGCTGTCAGCATCGATGGCGTGCGCTGCGAGTCGCCTCTGTGAAGAGACAATCAACGGACAAGCAGCGGAGTTAATTCCCTGTCAAAAGCGTGCCCTTGCCCCAGGGTGTAGCCCACTCACCTGTTCAGGCTGTAGGCGTTGTTATTGCCACCCACACTGGACTTGCTCCCTTTGCCCGGACACAGATGAAAGGCGCCGTAGATGAGAGGGTTGACGAGGCTGTTGGACATCCCAAAGAAGAAGATGGCGTCTTGAAGATCGTCGCCCAGCTGCAAAACAAATGGGTTGCGTTAAATTCAAATTAATTTTCTTTGCAGTCCTTTTGTGGGGGGATTTTCTATGTCTGTCTGAGTGGCAGTGTCTGTCCCAGGCAGGCAGGCAGGCAGGCAGGCAGGCAGGGGGATGATTGTGGTCTCCAGCCGGCTTTGTGGGGCACTCTTGGGGTTTTGGAATGTCTTTTTCCCATTGTCCATTATTGTTGGAGGTACACGGATGGATTGGTCACAGTTGAGTGCATGCAAATGCAAATGCACAATAAAGGGATTAGTCACCGCTTTGATATTAAATGGTTTACGCCATTCACTTAAAGTTTTATAGGGTACACAGGCGGTGGCCACCTGAGACTGTGCAAAGGCAGCCATAATCCTCGGGTTCTGGTACACGCTTTACGGGCAATCACAGGCGACAGTCATCAAAGTTGGCTCGTCCTTCGTAGCCGTTAAGGAAAAATAACGACACGCCAGTCCGGAGGTTCGGACGATTAATTAAAAATTTAGCATTAGAAATCATTTTTATGTGCTCTGGCCCGTTCCCATCGTGGAGACATTTCCTGGAACGGATTTAACATCTGCGACTTGGGCGTGTCGGGTGTTGGGTGTTGGGTCCCCGTGCTTAACAACCGCCACAAGCCGTAATATTAGACAAGACAGCAAGGGCTCTCCCATACCGATTCCCGGTTTGAAGTCAGACAAACTGACAAATCGACTTCTGATTGATGTATGCCATCGAGCTCAGCCAATACTAGGAATCCTTTTTTGCTCTGGCTGTCAGTCAGCCAGAAGCCGGAAATTTCCAAAGCGCCCTTGGACCCCCTTTGAAAGGTTAGCAACGCCCACGTGGTACTCACCCTTTTGTCGGGATTCAGAAACATGAACATAATCATCATCACGTAGTAGGGCGTCCAGCAGATAAGAAACGCTATGATGATCACCACGGAGATGCGCAGCGACTTCATTTTCGCCTTGTGTATCAGGCGCTGTCGATTCGTCTGGGTGGGCAGCTTATTCGTGGAGTAGTTCGCCAGCTTGGAGCCCTGGAACATCTTCTCGCTGCCTGTGTTGGGGTGCACACAAAGAGAGAGGATTTTTGTAGTATGATTTTGAGTAGCAAGTAAACCGCCCGATACTTACTTGAGATGGTGCGAAAAGTGGACATGTATGTTCCAAACAGGATGCACAGTGGCAGCAGAAAGGTGAAGACCAGCGTGAAGGTGGCGTACATCTGCTCCTGCCAGTCGGCCGTGTAGAAGCCGTGGGTGACACACTGGTAGAACTCCTCCACAAAGGGACCACGTGCCACGTGGAATATGAAGAACTTTGGTGAAGAAATAAACGATGCACTGGTTACATAGTTAGAAACAAGTTTGTCTTGGGCAAAGAGTCCATTAAAGCATTGTTCAAACTTTTAATGGACAGGAGGAGGCGGCGGGCCGCACAACTGCGGCCTCGGCCATACATAGTTCAAAATTGCTGACTGAGAAAGCTGCCCTGCCTGCCCTGCCTTGATTTTGGGATTTTGCGAATGCCAGCACTTTATGATCCGTTCGGAGTATTCCCTAGGGTTTTTAATTACTGATTATGTATGGAATGGAAGGTATATTTCCATGCTTCTGCGAACTCCATTCGAAGTGCACACACACAGCGCATTCCATTATTCAACCTCATGCGAGTCCACCTGTCTATGGGAAAAAAAACTCTGCTTGTGGCTCAGCCTTTGTCTCTGGCTTCACAAAGGAGCGTAGCCAATGGTCTGGTCAATGCTGATAAAGCGCAAGTCCAGACTCACATCGTCCTGGGGACAGCTGGGGACAGTGCTTGCCCAATACGCTAAGCCCCTTTTTATTTCATCGGTTTATGGGTTTCTTGACGTCGCTCAACCGTTGCCGGATTGCCCGTTTGGCCCGTTCGCCTCCTGCTATTGCCTGCTGTTGCCTGCTGTGTCAACAGCTGACCCAAATGGTGAAACTTGCCACGCACCACTAAGCGTTGCAGTAAAACTACATAAGACACTGGGGCACTAGAGCTAGGCGATACCGGATAAACGTCTAATGCTTGATTTTTATTAATTTCGCACATTTATAACTTCCGAGCCATTGACTTGGCACCAAAGCAGACAACAGACAACAGAGCGGTGCTCAGAATGGACATAACAGAAAAGGATCGATATAGCAAGTGGGCTGAAGGAAGACTGCCCTTCCCGATTGTTCCACTGCTGAATCTGGAAAAGCGACGAGGAATATGTATCTTTGGTATTTCTTTCGTTGAACCATTGTGCTGTCTGATTTTTAAAGTGCTGTTTGTTTTAGTCTTGTAAATCCTAAAATATTATTTAAGCCCACAAAAGTAGGCAAAAAAATAGCTGCGCCGTGGCTTTTTGGCAGGGTTTTCCGTTGAAAAAACGAATGTGCGAATGTTCCATTCAACATTTGTTGTTTATTGACAGTCGAGTCGTCGGTGAAGTTTTCATTTTGTTTTTATTCCAGGCAACGAGCTCAGCTGAGCGTTTCATATTGAATTCGTTGTGACTGCTCATCAACACGTGCCCTGGCTGGGGGGAGGTGAATGAGTGCGTGCCAGAGCGTGTGTGTGACAGTGGAGAATTATTTAAACCGATTCCTCCTGGACGCTCGGCCGTGTCACGTCTGTGTGGCTCATAAATTTTATGTCGCATGTTCAATAAAGCGAAATGAAAAAAGTTTTCCTCTTGGGTGCCAGCGAAAGTGCACCATAAAAATAAGACATAATGATTGCAAAGTTTCCTTTAATTGGGTGGCAGTGGCCCTTTAATTATGTCACTGTATCGGGGCGCGATCCAGAAGCAGTAGATTTGAGATTGACTTGTTGGGAAAGCACTCGGAGATTCAGTTTGTTTTCGTTGCGCCAGCCGAGGTCACGACATGTCAGGGAGTCAGGGAGTTAGCGAGACTCGAAAACAATTACATGGGCAGCGTAACCAACAGATGACTGCCGGCGGAGCCTTCCACTCCAAAAAATGACAACAAAAAAATACCAGCTTAATGCCTTTCTCTGGAGCGAAGGGTGCCCTTGGGGTGGGAATGGAATGAGTTGGTGGATAACATAAAAATGTAATTAGACTTAACATTTTTTGCGGCATTTAAACAAGTCAGACACTTTGACATTCCGGCACGCACGCACACCAGGCAGGCACGCCCACACCCACACCGACAAATCACTCATACGACGAGTGGGGCACACAAACACTCGCATTGTGGCATAATCCTGCCTCCTAGTGTGTGTAGGCAGTGTGCCCGAAATTACCATTCCTGGCCATATTTCACTCTGATAAAAGATAGCAAAACCTCAGGCGTGTCTCATGTACTGGTCCATTCTCATATAAACTGGGGCTTAAGTGTATGCGGATTCCGATTCACGTGGAAAAGCTGATTGAAATTCAAAATTAAAGCAGTCATGAAACTATCCTCCTGTTGACTAGAAGAAGCTCATTTCATAGTCCCTCTTCCATCACTCAGTGTTTACCAAACAGGCCATCCTTCCTGCGCACCTTCCATATTCGGATGCCTAAGCTGTAGGCAAGCTGGATACCTTGTTGTCTGTGCTGAAAGGTCAGATTCCACACATCCCTTATGGCCTTATATTGGGCTACATGTCACCTCTTGGCTCTGTGCTCCAAAATACCGAGATTAAAGTTTGCATAAGCACCGCAATAAAGGCCAGAGCTTCTGTTTATACGCTGGGTAGTAGTAGTTCGAAGTAGTTTTCAATCAAACTTATTACTTGCCGACTCCATGGTAACTTCTTCGAGTTTCCTTACCAATTAATTGCTTATTTCACTGTGCTCATTGTTTTTTGCTGAGCACCCAAGCGTGCTGCTCTCGAGCCACACTGACAGATGGACTCTGGCAGCTCCTCGTACCCGTGCTGGTGCCCTGACCCATAAATCAGAGGCAGGCAGCCGAGCCTGGATATATGTTATATATAATCGGGCGACACAAAACATAACCGCGGCGGCATACATTATGCAATCAATGAGCAAGAGGGGCAGAGGCTGTCCAAGAACAAGCTATTAATGCAGTCCCTTGCGGGGCTTATCGGCCAGCTGCCCGGGAATGGAATATATCTCAGGCCATCTTTGTGGGAAAGGCGACTCTCAAACAACGAAAAAGGAGAACATGAATAATGCCAGTCGTCAGGCTTCTTTTGGTCCTTTCTTTTTTGTTTTGTTGGGGTAAATGGTAAAACCCTTTGCGCTGACAGCGACCCGCTCTTCGATTGCCAGTGGCAGTGGCAGTGTCAGTGGCGGTGGCGGTGGCAGACAGTGTCCCCGCGTCGAGCACGTGTGTGGGCGTGTCGCCGCTCAAAGCCACATTTGGTGCACACTTATGACGGAGATGGGGAATGGGGAATGGGGAAGGCAATCATGTTTAATGGGGAAGCACACATTCTGGCGCCTACTCAAGACTATTTGCGCCCTGCCACGGGGCGTATGCGTGTTATAAAGTAAACATATTACTTCAACTTCATCAGAATGCCAGCGGAGAGGTGGGTAGCGGCTCTGTAGCGTTGTGGTATGCTAAATCCGCACCTCAACTTAATGGAACGCTGCCCCTCCACGAGCACTGCAAGTGGCACAGATTATTTCAGACAGATCTCAAAACACTTCAACCATTTCTTGAGCCATTTCAGACAGGCAGCAAAAGGATATTCGCGCGAGTAAATATACGTGGCACGTTTCCGTGAAGGAAATAGCACTTACCTGTGGCAGGCTGAGCACCAGCGAGAGGATGTAGGTGCCGCCGAGCAGGCGATGACAACGTTTGGCCATATTCAGCGACTTCATGGGATACTTGACGGCAATCCAGCGGTCCACACCGATCAGGACGAGGACGTACGTCGAGAGATAGAGGCTGAACATCTGGAAGAGCTTCACCAGCTTGCAGGTGAGCTCATTGGCCAGCCACTGGACCGTGTAGCACCAGGCGGCCTCGCCGATGATGCAGAACCAGGTGACCAGAACGTCGGCGATCGACAGGTGGAACATCAGCGAATAGATGGCACTCCACGTGTGCCGCGAGTTGCGACGCGAGATGCGCGTCTTGTAGATATTCCAAATGGTCAGCAGGTTGCCCAGCAGCGAGAAGAGCGCCATCACCGCCAGCACATAGACCTTCAGCAGTCCCGAGCGAGACAGCTGCGGCGCATGGTCCATCATGTGCTCGGGCACCTGTTCCGCCATCGGGGCGCCTGCCTCGTGCAGGCTGTCGGTGTGGGCCAGCGAGGAGCTGTTCGTGATGGCATAGGCGGGCACTGGCGTAGTCGAAGAGAGGCTCACATTAGCGGACACACTCAAGTCGAGTATGCTGAGCGTGTAGTTGACAAGGTCGGGGGCGGCGGCATTGAAGAGTCGTGTAAAGTTCGAGAGAGTCGACCAGTTGCTGGCCAAATCGTTGTCCGCACCGCTGGCCGTATCGCCAAGGCTGGGCAGACGGGCCTCCGTGGCCCAATCAAACTCCATGATTCCGGGGAGGGAAGGGGTGAGTCCGTAGCTTTATTTGGTGGCTTCACTGATGCTGCAGGGTGGGTGGTTCAGGGGCAGCAGGCGATGATCCATACAGTATGCAGCACATACATCTTTGATTCGTTATGCTCTGAGTGACATCAAACGAATTTCCATTTCATTTTCCGATTCGAGTTGTGAAAAGCGCATATTTCTTTGGAATTAATAATTCATTCTGGAAATATACGAGTATACATACGTAAAATACTTAATTAAAACGCTTTGTGGCTTCTCAAAAAAAAAGGAAAGTTGTCATGGAAAATCAAATAAATGGAATAATTTCATCAAAGATATTGAACATTAATTATTCACCGGGCAATGCCTTTAATCCGCATTTCCAGTAAAGTTTAAGGGTTGTTAAAGGCAACAGAACTTGAGACTGCACATATGTATGTATGCAGCACTTATTCATGCCCCAATCCCATGCCTGCGTTGCGTCTTTCTGGGGCTGCCTTTACTCCTCCGGAAATAACTGCTCTCGATGCCTGACCCGGCCTTGATCTCAGGTGAAGCTTTCCACTGCGCTGGAAATCACACAGTCGCAGTGTGTTTGCCATCGTTGACCCCTTCAGCAATTATCAGATGCAATTATCGAATCGCGATTAGAGACAGAGCCGTGCCCACGACCGGGGGCTGGCTGCCATGGGCTATCAAGTTCTCCGGATCACAATGAACGCGTTGCAGCAGTGCTGCAAATTAACTTTAATGGATTCCGCAGCGACTGATGTTGTCACAGTCGACTTTGGTCCGGCTTTCAGGAACGTCGAGTGGGGGGTTCAAAGTGAAATTCCATAAAATTTCATTTTCCAAATTAATTTATGAACATAAATTAAATTGGCCGCCTGGCTGGGCCTTTGTTATTGCGTTCGTCGCTTTTTGCGTAATGGGAAAACAATAAACCCAATTCAAGGCACTCTGGCTTGAGGCAGCAGAAAAGCGCGTGTCCGCGGCATTGTCCACACTTGGGGGGCAACTAGCAACAAAAGTATTTTGTTTGCTCCTAAATTGATACACATCAATTGAAGGCAATCGGTTGGTCGGTTGCTCTGTGCTCCAACAAAACGAGATTGTTGGGAGAGTAATTGCTTGTTTTGCGTAGTGTGGCATTTTGCTTTAGAACTGGAAACTGGCTAACTACACGATAATTGCACTTCATTGCAAATTATCCACATAAGCCCACTGAAGTGCAGTGCACTGGGAAGTTGTCTGGATCAACCACTCACTAATGGCCTGTTCGTTCTCCTCTGGCACTGGCACTGGCTCTGGGTCAACGAGAGTTGTCTCTCTGCCCTCTGAGAGTTCCACACTCACGTCGCGTCGCTCGTCACCCTCTCTGAGTGCGTTTAATCCGCGCGATTAATATACAAATGCGCATTTGATGGATCGGCAGGCTGCCCCGAGCTAATGCTGGCTGTGGCACATCTGCTCCATGTACATGGGATCTGAGCAATAATCCGTGTGGGTGTGTGTATGGGTGTGTGTGTGTGTGTGGGTGTGGGTGTGTGTGGAGCGAACTTTGCCGTAAACTTTTTGGCCAATGGTGCTAACGATTTTTGATTGATTTGCATACCCAAAATCCCTGTCCAAGCCGTCTAGACGCTTGTTTGTTTCGCAATTTAATCACATAGTTTCACATACTCGCCCTCGCCTAGTACAACGTTAATTCAACATTTGGAGGACACAATCCTCAAACGATCCGAGAACTATCGAATGTTTTATCTGCTGCCATTTAAAATGCGTTGACAACAATTGAATTGACTTTCAGTTGAATGAACTCTTCATAAATGTTTTCCATTGAATTTATTTGTTTCAATATCGACCAATTTGCGTATGTGACATGAATTTATTCTGACAGCAGCTTCAATTGCTGTCCAACATTCATTTGTTTGAAAGCCTTTGAATGCAGGCACTATTAATATTTTCGTTGTTCATTTGAAAGCAGAGTCGAATATCCATTTGCCAATGCCACAGCAATTTCGAGCTGTTAGTTGATGCATTGAACTGCCATCAGATGCATTGCTTCACCGAAACCGAATATGTAAACACATGAATGCGTTCTAATTGGTAACAAATAAACACGCACACATCCAAATGTACACCAAATAGAAATTTATATGCATATTTACATATACATTTACACATACGAGTATATGTACATATGTTCCTGCCCTGGACCTTTTTTGGAAATTCGTTTGAAATTTATTTTTGGTTCGCACAGTCCCAAAATTTGCACAGTCTGAACAGGGACAATTCTATTGTGTTATTTATTATTGTAATTAAAAGTATATTCAGTGGAATGAATGTCAATTTTTGATGGAACTTCATAATGTTGCTCGTTGTGTTTTGCTACACTTTTCAGTTAAAGCTCGGAATTCTGTAACGAGGAAAGTTTCTGCCAGTGCCGAAGATGTTAGGCACAATTTGCTTTTAGTTAACTTTTACCATCCAATTCCTGAGAGGGAATTAATATCCAAAGCTGTTTTTTATTATAAATATTGCCGCTTGCCGTCACTTTGTAATTACTTGGCGAGTTCATAAAGAGGCAGCAAGACCCCATCCCATCCATTGCTTAACTCACTCGCAACTTAAGGACAACTGAAGGTTTCGATTGCCATATTTTCCGCGGGCACAGTGTCCAGAGTGACGAACCGCCTGAGGGTTAAAGTGGAAGTGTGGGCAGGGTAGTCACCGACACTTTGACACAACACAACACTTTCAGTTTGCTCTGATAATAGCCGTGTTTTTGGGTAAAATTCGGATATTTTCGTTCTCATTTGTAGTCACATTCACATATAATATTGGGAACCTTCGGGTTTGTCTAAGCCGACACTGGCGTGTATTGACACAGTTGGACTGCCTCTATAAACACAGGAGCACACCACTGAAAGCCACAACAGTACAAGTACTTTCGGTTTAAATATTATCATGTCATTAAATTTTGGGCAGCTGTGCTCCCCTGCCAGATCTCTAGATCTCGTAGCCCCACACCACATGTTCTTCATGGCTCGCATGTATCCGTATCTTAATGTGTGCACAATTCACTGTTTGCCTCCGCACCATGCCATGCCATGCCACATATGTAGCTGCGATGCCAGTTTGATTAATTCTCTGGATTCCACAGATATTCGTACTTGTCGATCATTTGAACACACGGCTTCGAAACAGCTTTCGCAGTTATCCAAAGATTATTGTATTTAATATTTGCTCGTACTATAGGATTTGGAACTTGCCTTGATATATAGGTACTTGTTTTATTTTTAATTGATTTCGTAGCTTGTTGAATTTAATATTCTTCTGTTTATATTAGCACAGATATATCCTAATATTAATACCACATAAAATTACAAAGGAATAGCTTTCACTTTCACTTGAGGGTTTTCTTTTCTCTCTCTTTTCACGCGTATTTCCCTTTCACTTGTTATTCCAAGCGCTAGGAAGGGCCAGGCCAGCAATTCATTCACTAGAATCCTGCTCCAATCTGTGTTCCAAGCACTCTTTCCTCCGTGTTGTTCAACCGTTGCCGCGCGTAGAGTTCTGACAAATGATTTCTGGCGAGCGCCAAAGAAAGCCCCAAGTTTTTCTGGTGCCCAAGTTCGATGCCAGCTCGAACCTGTTCGATCCCGGCTGCGAACGTGTTGCAAGCATTTTCATTCATAAAACCTTTGGCAACCTTGACGGATGAAAGCCGCGCAGACATTACGCATACGCAACCATTTACTCATCTACTATTTCTGCTATTCTGTTTTTCGTATATTTAATTAGTTGTATTCAATAAAAATCTGGTATTTTGCATGGATTTCTTTCAAAGAAAATTTAAGTTTTCAAACCAAATATTTTGTTGGGGTATTTTGAAAGATTTACTTGTACTTTAATGTATTTTAAAGCCAAGTACCAGTGCAGACTGACACTGCGTATTTTCCTTTCTTTATTATTTCAGATGTTATTTAGTTAATTTAGCAAACTGAAATACCAAAGTCCCCACTGTGCCGTCGGTAGGTCAGCGCACTGCTGCACGTCCATGTCCATGGCTATAAGGCCTCTCATCCTCGCCATTCTCGACATTCGTTGGCATGTGTAGTGTGTAGTGCCATCATGTGGCTAGGGGCTCGGCGCAATCCTCTGGGAAGTGAGTCCCTTTTAGCTCGAAGTGGCGTGTTTGGGTTCAGGTTCAAACTAATAGTGGAGCATTAAAATAGCGTGATAATTTGCCTAATTAGATAATAATGCAACAGTTTGGGTAACAATGAAGTACGTGGAAAGAAGCATTCCCGATCCTGCATAGCGGAGGTTGTGCAATCCCCCCTGCCGCACCATTAATGAGCAGAAATTACACCAGCCAACGTGCTGTTGTGCCATTGTGAGTTCTGAAAATGGGAATAATGGCTTTGCTGCCATACAGACATGCAGAACATACCAGATTGGGTGCTAGCACGGGGAAGCTACATAAATGGGAAAAGAATTCATTTGTGGGCGATGGGAACCACAACAAGAGGTGCACATGCCACTGGATACATAAGAGGCGATGGTGGGTCCAGGAAGCAAAAACCACCAGCCAGCAGATGACAAATGACGCCAAGAGTGGCAGCCCAGTCACGTGTGATGAACCAGCAACAATGTCAGGCTAATGTGCCTCATCTCCACTCCACCCTCACCTGCCTCCGAGTCCGCTATTTTTCGGTTTTTTTTTCGAACCATTCCCGGGCATTGTTTTCTAGGCACTCGCCATTGAAGCTGTCAAAGTTGGTTGAAGCCATTTCACGATCTCATCCAATGAACAGATGAGCACGAAGCGCGAGGCACGGGGCACGGGGCACGGAGCACGGAGCACCGTGTAACTCTGACAACTGATGACTAAATAATTTTACATTGTGTGTTTAGCGATAGAAAAAAACACAAAACGGTGGCAGGCATATCACACATGAAGTGATTTATGCAAAATGATTACCTTTGATGCGTGATATCGCGATGAATGCTCGTATTTGTTAACAGAGAGCGTGGGTGAGTTCTTCCCTTCCTAGCTTGGCCACAGTTCACTCCGAAGCAGACACTCAGAACTTTCTTAATGCAAAACAAAGTACACATTGCAGTGGATCATTTCCTCCACACGGGCAGATTAATACCCGCATGAATTGGCACGCAATAACAATTGAATTTACACACGCCAGCATCCATCTC